ATACAATTAATACTTCAAAAATAAATACCAACTCCTAATCCATGTATATATTTCAATTTATAATTTATATTATCTGTATATGCACACAATTCTTAAATTATTTTCGTAGTATTTATTCGTTAACGCGTATTATTAAATAGTAGACACGATAACAATTCGCACTCATAATATTTACTATTATGTCTTTATGATTGTCTACGCATTTTTATTTTTACTGTGTTAAAATATGTTGTAATACAATAAGGCAATAATATTATTATTCGATTTTTTTAAATTTAGCATTGTTATCTGTATACCAACTAAGTATAGTATTGGCACTGCGGTGAATCTGGGTCACAATTGATCGGTTATCAGATTTATCCTATACAATTCGTCCGACAACCGATATTGATAATTTCTGTTAGGATACTTTGTCATTAGTCTGTATATTATATTATACCTCATCCCCTAGCCATACATGTTCTGTATAAATACGTGACTACTCTAATAGTTATCTTACAGAAACTTCTCATTACCTATCAATAAAAATAAAAAATGTAATATACGTATGCATATAAAATTATATACATGCAAAATAATTTCGTCTTTCTCTACTCCTTTAGGACTTTTCAAGAACTACCTCAGACAAGACTTTATGTATTAACGAATAACGATAAACACTTATATTTTTGAATAGTTATGCATAGTTTGACATTTGTGATTTATGCGCTAAATTTAAATAAAAGGAACTTAATATGTATATTATTATAAAGACACATGCGCATAAATAAGGGATGCATTTTGAGATGCATGTTTTAGCAATAACACTACATTAATATTGGAAAGAGAGTTTTTGTATTGGTATCAACAAAATCAACATTACAAAAACAACAATATAATAAGGTGCATCTTTCACAACTCTTGCACATTTACAATGTATATAATTTCATCAACGATAGGTACTAACGAGGTTTCTTCAAATTATAACTATTTAAAAGTTAAAATTTACAATTGTGCTGTGGTTTTACTCATAAATAAAAAATTACTATTTTTATATCTAAATTTTTACATTTGTTTTGAACTGTAAGCAAATTGTCAAAACTTCAATCGATAATATTCGAGGGTGTGTATATTGCCACTCTAGACGGTTTTCATTTTATAATAAAAACATATATCGAACATTTTTTTAGATATTACATTACTAAATTTAAATTATATATCATTATATTTTAAGTATTAATTCTTTCAAATGTTTTTTTATTATCTAAGAAATAATAAAAATAAAACTTGGTTAAATCTAATTAAATTATATTGTATGATACATCAAATTGATTACTCATACTTATCGTACTTATTTTGAGACCACCTTTACTGTAAATACTAAAAATATATCTTTACAATGTACCTATACAGCAGTAGTTAAATTATTTTCAATCTTTTTAACAATGTAGCACACCACTTCATCTCCTACAAAATTTGAAAGACATATTATTTTTTAAAGTATATAAAATACATATTTATACCATAAAATAATCATCAATAAATTAATTAAAAAAACTTCAAGGACGTTTGTGGCACACTGGTTGAAAACAACTGATATATAGAGTAAAAAATTATTTATTTATTCTAGGTATGTTTCGATAAGTGATCAAAAAAAAAAATAAATAAAAACAATTTAAATGTCATAATAATTTACTATTCCGTTCTATATCTCACGATTCATTAGATAATATTTTTGGAATTACTAATATAATAAATTTGTTTAGTGTGAGATAAATATATGTTTGCGTTATACTGATTCAATCAGGTATACAACATTTAAAATCTTCGATATTAATTTACATGATAGAAGCATTTATATATGTTGAAAATGTATGATAAAATTCTAATCATAATGTCAGTGGAACTAAACGAAATTAAACTTATACTATTAGAACCAAGTTTGCATATTTTTTGGATTATATTTGCATAAACAGTTTGCTAATAAATATTTTTTGTAAAGACATAATACTTCTGGAGAATTAAATTTTAAAAAGAGAATTTAAAATTGTATTCCACATAATCTAACGTATCTTATTGTTTTGTTTCTCTTGATTTTTATTTTTGCTTTATTTACATGATAAAAGATATGTATTATTTATAAAGCAATGCAACTGTATGGTTTTATATCTCTGAAATTAAACCGAACAATGAAGAGTTCTAAAAAATATGTAATTATATTTTACACATTTACATATTTAAAAATGGATATTGACTACTTTTTATTTAAAACACTATAGACCTTAAAATTAATAATAATTTTCAAGTTTTGAAAGTAAATGTACACAAAAATACATATTTGAATAAATGTAAGCGTGATTTTTGTAAATATTTCAAATTTGGTAATAATATTTTTACGCTCAAATAATGTTCTAACTCAGTGATTCCTAACCGGTGGAAATTTTCCTCTGAAAGAATTGATAGGTACTGCGCATGGAAATATAGTGATGATGAAATATCGAGAAATTTAGTATTCCATTTTACAATCAATAAAATTAAGAACAATTAATTAATTTTCAGACGGTCGCCCATCGATAACAATTGTACAAGTATTACATGAGTCAGGCTTTTCCACACTTGTAAATTAAAAGCAAATAAAGAAATCGGTTGGATGTAGAAAATGATATGCGTTGCACTTTATCAAAAATATCCTTATGGATAATGGATTTTGTGAGAAAAAAAACAATCTCAAATTTATTATTAAACAAATTTTACTTACAATATTAAATATAAAAATACATAAAAAAAATAATATTATAAAGTGAATAAAAAGTTTTATAAACTTTTCAAAATTTTACATATATTTAAAAAAGTATATATATTTATAAAAATAAAAATAAAAAATATTCAGCCCAATTTCTGTAAGTATCGTTAACGATAAGAAAATTGTGTTTTACTACTTTCTTGATGATAACATTATTTCGTCACCTCTCAGATTAGTTTTATAGATTATTTTGGACTGTTTTTATAAACACATATATATAAATAAAAAATATGAATATATGTACCTAATTTAAATAAAGTTAAGAAAAAATTCGACGAGTTGAGTATGATAAATCACCAGCAAACTTTATTTTTATGATGTAAAACTTTCGATTAAAATCATTTCTCGTTTTGCGACTGTCTGTGAACGGGGTCACGATTTGCAACTAACAAAAATACTTACATGTCTCATTATATTAGTGAGTTGGTTGAATTATTTTATTATTAATTATGAGGTTTTAGTTTTGTTGTTTTTGTTAAAAGTTATTTAAAAAATCAACTACAAGGACTTCTGGATTTATACCTACCTATTAATTTGGAATATTTTAATGAGTACCGGGATTTTAAAATTGTATTGATTTATGTTGACTTCAAAACACCTATTTACAAGTCCATTAAAACCATTTAACCAGAAATATTATTAAGAGGATGTCCATTTTAATCTTGATGGCCAAAATTCAAAATACTTGGGCTTATTGCTATTTGCTAGTGAATATGGGATGAATTTAAGAAAGTGGCAAATATTTATCACTCGTATATTTTGGTTTATTTTTAAAATTTATGTTATTTTTCCATTTAAACTATTATTAGAATCACAATCAGTTAATTCTAATGTTTTAGCTATTGAATTTTGAATAAATTCAACAAGAAATTTTTTTACTGATCTATAAGTTATCATAACCTTAAGTTTTTGAAATACAAATAAATTACAATTTATTATTTATTTATTTATTTATTGAGATTATTTATTTTATTATTAGTTGTTTAAGAACCCCTGATTTATATACACAGACATTATCCATTTATCCAAAATATCGGGACGGAGTATTAAATTGCTCAGCCATTAATGGCCTAAAATAACCTATTATGTAATATAACGGAGGTAATAAGCTTATAGCACACTGACACTTTTCAAATAACATGTGTATGTACGATATGGTAAACTGAGTCTGATGAAATTATTTTTGATTAGCTATGATGATTTATGATTTAATTTATATTTTATTCGACAGCAAAAAGTATCTTTTTTTAGTTATTTTTAACGGTGCTAGTGGAAGTAGGCAAAATTTGTTGTTTATTTTAATTATGTACATTATAACTTCAACATGCCAGCCGAACAGAATCAATCGTAATTCTTTTTTTTCTTTTTTTTAATACAATTTCGTTTGTCATCCTTGCTATATATATTATATATATATATATATATATATACTTATATACAAAAAATTCAAGTATTATAAATGTATGATTCATACACCTATAAATACGAATGGGGGCCGATACACGTCCACCTTGGCTGGGATCACTGGGCACCGTCGCTGTTAATCGTCATAATAATTGCACTTGAACGCGTGCGACCATGATAACCACACGGAATCAGTTTCGCGTCTTTCCGTAATACCATACCATCGATTATCAGCTAGTCAATGGTTAAACCGTAGAATTTTTTTCTCCGTCAACGAAGTATGGTAAAGTGGGTGGTGCTTATTCCGAGTTTTTATATTTTTAGGTGTTTTTTTTTTTTTTTATCGCATCACGAAAATATAATAAATTTAATACATTTTATGTTCAAATTCCCGCCGCTGCAACAGCAATCGTTTTGCAGATAATATACTCGTAGGTATGCAAACACAATATAATTTGTGTATAATATGATGATATGTGTGTGCAAATGGAAATTATCATTGACATTGATCGCAGTATATTATGGTCGCAGATTAAGAGAAATAAACGAGGAGAGCGGCGGAGAACAATAACTATTATTTATCATTTACGTAATACGTTTAAGAAAATTATTAATGACATTAAAATAATACATTATTTTACTATGAAGTTCGGCGTTATCAGTGCATACTGTAGGTAGGTATACAATTTAATTGATGAACATTGTAGCTGTATGAGTGGGTGTGATTCGATTACGCGCGCAGCTCGCAAACCGTATGCCATTAAGCATGTTATGATTATACCGCGGACGAATAGTTTACGACGCGTCGCGCGAATGCAAGTAGGTAGTCGCACACGCCACTTATCGCGGTGAAGACGGACGCCGCGAAACGAACGTATACGTAATACATAATTTGATCACACCCCGAGAATGGTCTCAAAACACACACACACACATGACGATTAGAATATTTTACAGTTTATTATTATTTATTTTATTACAACACATCGCGCGCGTATACGTTACAATATAGACCACCTGTTAATATTTACATTGAGTCTCTCAAACGGAATAAAAAACAAAAATTTCGTCGATAAGAAATAGATACCTACCTTAAATATTAACGGCGTCATAGTAATAATACTCACGTGCTTATTGCTTACGTATATACATGTATAATAATATACTATATAATTCGATTGCCATAATAAATAATTATAATAATATAATATTATACAGTATGTGGTAATACAATACAATGTATAAGATCGAATGACGTTTTCTCACACCATTGAATTCTACACAGGTACATATGATTACATAATATTCATAAATAAATCGTAATATTCGTAATCGGTATCAGCTTCCGAACTGGTGATTGTTTATCGCAGATGCATCGACCAGTATGCGTACACACTACACACGCACCACCGGACCGGCCGTATCAGTCGCGTTCGATAGGTCGTACAGGTAACAATAACCTAACGGGTGCATCATGCCACCACCGCCGCTACCATCGTCTCATGAGGAGTAATATAATAATAAAAATAATAAATAGTATAACATTCAATATAGTATCATGTAATCTATTTCAGTGCGCCATTTGAAAATTCACACCGACATGTGTACGTTGTGTAAAATTTCGTACTGTACAATAGTCAGATATTAGTATAATATATCCGTCGTAATCTAGTATTATTTACCTACACACCGGAATTAGACACGGAAATGGCCAGCGAAACGATGGTGAACTGTAGAGAACCGGAAGTCGGAGATTTAAAATCCGAGCCCGATGAATCATCCTACATGCTCCGAAACAAAAGTACGTATTTAAACTATACCTGTTATGTATATCTACTATTATACACAGTTCCAGATCTTGAACTCTTAAGACCCGGGTGAAAAAGACAATTTTTGAGAATTCTTAAAAAAAATACCATTAAGTTATCTACTTATATTTTTATTAAAAAACAAATAAATTATCAACGATTTATACAATTTCAGTTGCACTAATAGTTTAAATATAAATATAATTATAAGTATAATACATTATCTAGATTATCTAGTATTCTAGTTATCTACACGTGGAATTCGTATTAATCTTATGTAATTTATGCTACTTCAATATCCATAATAACAGCCATCAAAAGCTCTAATCGGAAGTCCCTCCCTCTATTTCAAAGCGACAGGGCACGAATGCTATATTTCGTTTTCACCGATGGTTTATTCTATATAAACTATTATTCTACCATTATCTATAGCTTAACAGATATTAATTACAATAGTGTCGATTTTCATTTCCTTGTCAATCGAAATTCGCATATTTTTTCTACATCTCAGGTGTCTGTGACTCGTATTGATTTTATTATATGATATTATATCGCCATTTTTCACATCGCGCCGCAGGATCGCCGCCGTCGACCAACCACGGTCTACATCAACATCAGCAGCAGGGACGTCAACGTCGAACGTTCGACGATAGCTGGGCTTGGTATGTGGTGGGTGGTTGCGCATTTGCCAATTTCCTGTTGCCCGGCATGCTGAGATCCTTCGGGCCGGATGTTCTAGACGGGTTCGTCGAGGTCCACAAGCTTGAATTTGAGAACCGGTCCGTCGTCGGTTGTCGGTGGATACCAGCCACGTTCCACCTGACATTTTTCATAGCGGGTACGTGTAAAAACGATGACAATATTAATATAATATGAGTATATGACATTATAATATATGCAACTGCGTGGATGTCAACTCCGCCATGATTTTCATTTTAGAGTGAGATTTATGACGTATGTTTTTTGACCTGCAAAAGCAAAATATGTTAACTTCACCAATATGTATCATAAAAAAATCAAATTCGTATTGTTGTGCAAAATTATACTTAAAAATATACATAATATCATATTTTATACAATAAAATTTAACTAATTAAAACTTAATTTAATGACTTTAGTTAGGTATATAGTTGGGATTGTTGGAAATATTTGAAGATTTAATATTACGTTTTTTAACAACAAAAATGCAGGCCCGGATTGGGCCGGTTAGCTACCATGAAAATCTTAGTGGGTCGCTTAAAATATAGGCTGATTATAAGTGTTTTATTGTAATTTTCTAACAATAATAATCATAAAACCAAATATTTAATATCAGCGAGACTTAGGTTTATTTTAGAAATTAAAAGTTTATAAGTACTGTAATGGAATTTACATATTTTTCACGGGTAAAAAAATTCGTACCATTAAAATATTTGCATATAAAAAAAAATACTATCGGTGGAATTTACAATTGTCCGCTGACTTTCAGCTTCAACAAAACGGATATACGTATCTACACTTTTATTAGCATTCAAACGAACTAGAATAATTCACATATAGAATATTATAATATTATATTTATTTGTTCCTCTTTACCAATATATATAAAACAAATATTGTGTATAATATGTGTGTAGCACGTGTGTCATTGCATTCTCGTCGATTTATGGGCAATGTGTATATAGTTCGGATAATCACGAAGTGTATCAGTATATACAGAGTGATTCAATGTGCATGCTCATCCCCATTTTTGCCTTAAATAATACATTTTTTTTTAATTCTGATATATTTAATTTTTAGTTATACTCAGACTATATTTTCGAATTTCCGAGATTTTTTTATTCTGTTTAAAAAATGTCTTACGGAGATAGACAACCCTTCTTTTATACAATAAATTATTTTTTCAATAATTTTTCTAAAAATTTTAACATATCAAAATTAAATTTAGCTAAAAAAAACAGAAGTTTTTATTATCACAGAACACTCCTTAAGTAGTAAAGATAAAAAATCTCACATATTTGAACATATTAGAACATTTAAAAATGAGTAAAATGAGAATTTTAATTCTGTATTAAATAAAAATTTAAGGGTGAACATTTTTACTTAGTGAATCAGCCTATGTATAAATAAGCACTGAGAATACCGAGTTCGCTGCACTTTAGATGTTCAACTCGATTCCGAATACGATACGTGGTATCTACACTTATAAATACTAAATCATACTATTCAATATTCATACTTATATCTGTTGTGAGTCACGTGTTGCGTACATTTTCATCGATTGTCGGAATTTTTTTCCTATTTCACGTCACATAATAATTTATCCACTATCCACACTATCTAATGTTTTGGTACCGTAGAGTACAAACACTTACATACACATATGCTCGGAGTATGTTTGTATACCAGCACTTGTAATTTATGACGCGTGCCAGAAAATCTAAGCGTCACCTCTTCCTCACTTTCCAAACTACTGCACGAACCGTCACGACTATATTAATTGTACGATGAAACAATCGACCCGGAAACCAAATTCTGTCGATATCGTATTCCCATTGAAAGTTTCATCAGGAAAATATTATATAGAAGAGACCTTAAATTATATTATACACGTTGTATCAACTAAATGTACGTGTATATACCAAGCTACTGTGTACACTGTACACGAATCGTACACGTCAACACGTGTTTAGTTTTTTTATGACTATATAATAGCAGTGCCATTGAACGTGATTTCGAACCCACAGCTTATAAGACTATCCGATTATATTCTTTTTCTTGAATTTGGTCACGCAAATCCATCGCATATACTTTTTATCAAAACAACACTCACGAAAAATCTCCGTATGCGTGGCTTCTGTGTACAATATTATTGTAGTAAGTATGCGAAATCATACATCGAACAAACGTACATTTTAAACGTTTTATAACGTAAAATTCTGATAATGCGATGGTCATAAATCATAATTTATTTTACAGACTAAATAACTGATAATCATAGTATTAAATACCACAGTGTGTCCTAAAATATTTAATCAATGTATTACAAACATTTATTTGTCTAATATTTAAAAAAAATACACTATATACCTAATATAAAAATTATTTATTTGTTTAGGGTTATCAGTTCTTTTTTTTTAACGACGCGGTTTTATTTTTAATTAATATTTATTTATTTTTTACATAGTTTAGCTTTGTATGCATATTTTAAAATTTAAACGTATATAAAAATATATAAATTCGGTTAATACGAATAATTATAATACTTAAAACGATAAACTGTTATTTTCGTAATTTTGTATATATTGATTACACAGGGTAATATTTTTTAAATAATAAACATTCTCCTCATCTTGAATGTTAATATGATTTTGTAAATATTTTTTTTTTTACATAATTTTAAGTCATTAAAACACCAGATTTGAATTCAAATAAATTGAATTTTAAACGAATATAAATAATAATTTGTAACTTATAATAGTATATTTGAAGATTATTTGAACAAAGTAAAGTATAGCGCAAGGTTATCCCACAAAATAGTTGATGCACACTACTTCACTCATTTAAACTTTAAATTTATACTTATTAATAAATTAACCACTCTTTAGAAATTCAATTATTATACGTTACAATTCTAAATAACAATTAAATGTAGGTATAGCTATTTAACCATTGTTAAAATGATGTAAGCGCGATTTGTTATCTATTTCTCCTTACTCTCACTCTCTCTCTCTCTCTGATCCTACACTTACAATATAACAAATTATTTTTTTCGTATATTAACCAGTCTAATGTTGTTAGGTTAAAAATGTTAGTCTTAATACTATTGAGTGAACTAATCCATTAAAATTTAATATTTAAAACATTATCTATATTTGTATATTGGTTTTTACGATATTTTTGGTTTTCTGCGATACCTAAACATTTTTGAATCGTAATTTATTTACTTACTCATAACTAAAGCGCGGATTTTTATGCACTTAAAAGTATCGAAATATGGCATATAATATGCAGTAAAAATAATGAAAATATGCAGTCAAAATTATGAAAATATGCAAAAATATACAAGAATTTTTTATTTATTTAAAATTTACAATAAAACTTATAATAATTAATTACTTAAATACTTAATAATAAATAATTTCTAAACTTAATTTATTTTTAAAATTGTATTTATTATTAAAATTAATAATCATATGCATTTCAAGTTTTTCTTCTGTGAAGTTGTATCATTTATCGATTAACATATTTTTAAAGACTGAGAACGAACGTTTGACGTCAACCGAAGTTATTGGGGCATATTTGAAGCAACTTAGTATTGTCGGATCTTGATAAAGATCTTCAAGATGAACGTTTTCACTTAATAACACTGAATTAATTTTTCGTAGAATTTTCAGACCTTCATTTTTATTGGAAAGCTCGTTTAATTTTGTTGTAAGTGTTACACCTTTCAATCCAGGAATAGAATGCATTTTTTCTTTCGTTTCGTCAATTATTGAAAAGCTTAGATATAAAGTCATATTTCGAGTTTCCAGTTTTTTTTATGACTATTTTTATCACTAAAAATGCCAAATGAATAGATATAAATTTTAAATCATTCTACTTGACAAAATATTATCCTATACATTTTTTTAAATTTTCGCTTCAATATGCAATAAATTTTGAATTTTGTCAAAATATGCAAAAATATGCAATAACCTTCAAATATGCAGAAATATGCAAAAAAAAATTTCACCATTAGCTTCAAATTATGATAATTCGTGGAGATAACTGACAAAAATCCAAAAATATTAAAAGGAAAAAAATATGCAATGGCATAGAAATCCGCGCTCTACTCATAACATACATAATTAAATTAAATACTGTTAAAAGGCCAACAGGCTAACGTACAAACACGAATAATTTTCTAAACTTTGGGTTTGATAATAGCCGTCAATTCACTTTAATGTGTTTATAATGTGTTCAAACACTTCAAACTAACAACACAGATCTTCTCCGCAATTATACTACATATATGTCGCTTGTAGATTGGATAGATAAAACAAGTATTGGCTAATATCTTCTTAATACATTTAGAAATAATGAATGATTATTATTAAAATAATTCTCCTGTATACGTATTGTATCAAATAAACAAAATTCAATTTTGTTAAAATGTTTAATTGTAGAAATCGCGTCTCCGTTACATTACCTAGTCGTAAATTCTCCGTCCGAACGGAAAAATATAATTTAAATTTTAATTATATATAACGTAATTGTAGCCTCTATCCCTACCCCTAGCTCCTATCTCCAACACTGCTGTTCAACTAAATAAACGATCCCAATTGTATCCTGAAATCCCTTTACTTACGAACCATTGCTGTAGGTAAACAATTTCAGTAGATACAAACATTGTGTTCTTTCACTTTAAGATTGCATTCTTCTGTGATAGACCGCAATTATACTCTTTTTATGTGATGTTATTGAGCATATCATGATATATCTATATATAATACTTATATTTTGTTTTCAGCACAATTTATCAAAAAAATATTAATACGATCAAATTTTGCTTGGTAATTTTAGGTTCGCTGTCTGGCCTGCTATGCAAACTAATTTCGCACCGAGCCGTAACGTTCTGGGGTGGATTATTGGCTTCTGTCGGTATGATGTCCAGTTCATTTGCTAACTCCATATCGCACCTGTACATTAGGTATGTATAGACGTATAATAGTATATGTAGTACGCATTTTTTTTAATTTTAGCTAACCAAATAAGACACGTATTTGTTATGAGCAAAGTGCAAGAATATTGAACAATATGTACATTGCCCATACATTATGGGTAGGTACTAAACTAACTGTCCGATTTTGACAGGCAATGTAAGTAAAATTATACATATTAGAATATTGCCAAATCTGTCTCGGTCAATGTACACTATAATGGTTTTTTGATTTATTTAAAACGTATTTTTATTGCTTAGTCTTAATCAAATATGTATCATTTAATTTATAATTAACTATTATAAAATTAAAGTATGTACTAATTACATTTATATTTTGAATATTGCTCTTCTGTTTTAATATGATTTCAACTATTACAAATTACTTAATTGTACATAACTGCACTGCACAAATAATAGATACTTAATATACCTACTAACAGTTTACATGATAGTTCTTACGCATGATTTGAATTGTAACTGTAAATACAAAATCTTAGATTTTTCAAAAATAAATATAATTTTAATACCTTAAAAGTTAAAATCAATTTATCGAACATTAAATTTGTAATTACTATGATTATTTTGATAATCTGATAAGTTATATTTATTTTGTAGATGATTTTGACACGACGTTTATTGACGAGACAATATCGAGAATTTGATAATATAGCATTACGAGTATTTTAAAGACAAATAAAAAAATGAAGAATAGCGTCACATTACTCACATTATATTACACTTATCATAGTTATGTTCTATTACTTTATGATAATACATTAGCAATGGCAGGTTTGTAATAAAATCAATGGTAGTTCGTGACATTGCGTAGCATTGATTATAAAATAGTCTATTGTCGATATTTATTTTAAGTGTGTAATCTAATCAAAAGTCGATATATATTTCATTAATTTTAGATTTCTCAACATAAAATTTAACTATAAATAAAGTACACTTTGATCGGGCAAAGTATTAACCTACCAGTTCAAATAGTATATTAATGATTTGAACTAAAACAACGGGTTACAGGACCATACATACTCGTATACCGATAACCGTGTCCATATGTATATATGATAATATTTATATTTACTGACGTCATAAGCGATCTACCAATTTTTTGACTAGCAAAAAAGCTAAAAAAAAAAAACTATTTACAAATAATTTATATGAATTTGCTATCATGTAATTTAGAAAATCTTGGAATATTAAATCATTTAATAGATACATAGTCGCATATATAATATCTACTATTATTTTATTTATTCTTAAAACAACCCTTCAATTCGACATATTCGACTCATAACTACACTATGTTTTTTAAATCACCAAAAAGCAAAAAGCATAAATATTCAATATGTAGGATATGGGCTCCAATAAAATTGGTGGGCTTAGACAACTTTCACTTTTATAAATAAATTTAAGTTAATTCAAAATTGTGTATTCTTTCCATTTTTATTTCTCAAGTGGATAATAGTAGTTCAAAGTTCTATACTGATCTTATAGTTATAGAAGAAATGAATTACCAATTAGTATTTACCTAATCGCATGATTAATGATTATAGTAGTTAGTAGTTGTTTATAAATGTATAGATCTTTAAACATTTATAGGAGATTACAAATGTAGTAGTTAGCAGATACTTTACAACGCAGGTATCCCATAAATATCAAGCAGTGCATCACATTGCAAATAATATAATATATACATTTTACTCGTTAAAAAATAATATTTTATTAAATATTAGGACTAGGATTTCAATACACTTTGCGTTGTTTTTCAAAAATAGCTTTATTGATCAAGATGTTCGTTTTACAACATATACCTACGTATCGTGTATTTTTGAATTAGGATAAAAAAATGTTGTGCATTTTTTGAAAATGTTATTTTTTTAACGTATTTTAGAATTTTTAGAAAATTTAACTTCTAAAATTAAATAACAAATTTCTTTTTTAATATTTCTTTAAAATTTTTAGCTAAATAAGTAACTGTAATTTATTAACAAACTTTTATCTAATCAAATATTATTATTTTTTTTAATCTTAATTTTACTAACGGATTTATACGACATAAAAATTGAGATTAGAAGTGGCGATGGCCATTAAATGAGGATAACTATTTTTTTTTTAATTAAACCGCAGAAGTCTTGAAATTGTGCAGTCCTGCAGATTTTTTTTTTTAATTTAAAACTTGTTTAAATTAAAAAATTGAAAAGCAAATATATTTTTTTTAAACTGCCTATGGCATCTTTATTTAAACGACCAAAAGTCTTTATAAATATACAATACATTGTGGTTGAGTACAATATAATACATCATAAGTAATTGGTAAATTGATTAATTATAAAAAAATTAAAAAGCAAATATGGATGCAATATTTTAAATGTTTAGGACATAAAGGCATTTTTTGATTTTTTTTTTTTTTTTTGATGCATTAAATTTCATGCATAATTTTTAACTACTTATTTTTTAACTGTGTATATTAGACTATATATAAATTATAAATACATATTACGCAGAATACATGATCAATGACAGTTTTCCCGATTTTCCGCAGCTACGGCATAATGGTGGGCTTTGGCGCGGGTTTGTGCTATTCGGCTGGAATACTGATTATCAATGAGTATTTTGTCAAGCACCGAGGACTCGCCAACGGGTTGTCGTTGGCAGGCACCGCGATTGGCGCTCTGGCCCTGCCACCGTACCTTGAGTTTTTGACATTTTCATACGGCTACAGGTATATAATATTCTACTATAAAATGTTCATTAATATTTAATTCACGGAAACTACAGAAAAATAAATTAGCACGTAGTGTTCATACTATTGTTACCAGCACTAGGTCCCAAATCCCCAACCTGATCAAATGTCGGTGAAACACGATTGCGCCAATCCTACCTTTTTAAAAGCGAAAAACGCAACACGATTGCGCTCGAGCCTTTAATATAGGTAATGTCTTTTTAGCAATTTTTCAATATACTATTTCAAATACAGTCGTAATAATCAATCGAAGTTCAATGTTTGAGTTAACCAAGTTCGACTGTATTAATACATGAAATTATAAACATTTATCTTTTTTTAATAATAATATTTGTCGAAATGTATAACAACATTTATTAAAAAAAACTTTAATTTATTAAAAAAATTTTTGAAATTACAAAAACTACGATTTACAATTTTATGGCATAAAATGTTTGATCCCATTACTCTTAAATATTTTAGAGTAATTATTTCACTTTGTTATAATTTTGTCTAAGTTTGCATTATAAATTACAATCTGTTAACTAAGTTCGACTATATTTTTAAATAACGTATTAGAAAATCGATAGAAGGGAAATATTACTATATTATACTATTATAGGATCGAGCGCAATCGTGTCACACCCATCAAATATTAACAGCACATAATATCATACAGAATAATTTACAAAACAATAAGAAGTTATTCAAAATCTGATATTTAGAATTTTAAAGTATACTTACAAGTTACAAGTATAAACCATATTAATAGAACATTTTGTTCAAAATATGAATTTAATTATATTTATGATACTGAGGAAACTAAAAATTAAATTATGTCGTTTAAGTGAAAACCCCTGCTCTTTAATCTATAGTAAATTATTTAGCATATTTCAACAGCAATTAAAATTAAATTTATATTTTTTTGAATAAAACACACAGCATAACGTTTTACTTTTTAATATAATTTAAATTAACGCACATTATAAGTATTTGAAAGAGCAATATTTGTTATTATTTCGTAATGCTTAATTTCATGCCGATCAGCATCAATTTTTTCTATACTTTTTATGTTTATTTTGTTCTGATAATTTTTTTATATTACGTGCCTACAGTTCTTATAACATTGTAATCAGTATTTATCATATTGTGCGTTTCAATTAAATTCATAAAATAAAATAAAATGATAGAAGGTAAAGACTTAGAATGGTTAATAACTATTATGATCACATTTCAACTCGATTAGGCATTAGGCGTACGATGACACAAGCCACGAGGTAAAATACGAACTTACAAATAACACGACTACAATAACGGTATCCGCGGCACGGACTTATGCAAGTACCGCCAATGCATAATTGTACAGCTGGGTGTTGTTTTACAATGATTCGTTTAGATCCCTCGGCCTCGCCTAACCCAATATAACCCACGGGCCTTTGACGTTCGCCATCACTACTTATCGATAGCGTTTGTGTCTTTTTTTCCCGCAGAGGTGGTATTCTGATCGTGTCCGGAATAATGTTGAACACTCTGGCGTGCTCGTTGACTTACAAGCCCGCGGTTGTGGACCGAGCAATCCAACAGGACGAGGTGACCTGCACGAGGCCGCCCTGCGTTTCGTCGTCGCCTCCCACGACGTCGATTAACGCGATGGCAGTGACGACGACGGCACTTAGGGCGGCCACGGACCTGTACTACGCCGCAGTGGTGTCGTCGCCGTCCCCACCGCTGTTGAAACCCAAAACGACGGCGGCGGCGGCGGCGACGGCATCCTCGACAGACGACGAAGACGACGGCGACGGCGACGACGAAGACGAAGACGACGACGACAACGACAAACGCCTGAAACACGTCCTCTGGCGGCGGTGGTTGAGACGACAACGCCCGAGATGCGGCGGCAGTCCGTTCGCCGAGTTTCTGGCCGTGTCGGCCGTCCACGCGATCAGCCACCTGGCGTACGCCACTGCCGTCCCCGCGCGCGGCGCCGCCCTGCACCTGGCCGCGGCCGAGGCGGTGGGTCGCCTCGTCGCACCCACCGCTTCGGACTTGCTGTCGTCCGGCGGCTCGGCGTCAGTTTATCTGTATGCCGCGGTAATGGCCGCCGGCGGCGCGGTCCTGCTGACGGGCGGCGCCGCCGCCGAATCGGACGTCGACCCGTTCCAGTGGTCGCGGCCGACGCAGTGGTCGGGGTCCCTGGTCGCGGCCTTCGGGCTGGCGTCCGGCGCGGCCGTCGGGCTAGAGCCGCTGGTCGCGGTGCAGGTGCTGGGCCGCGAGTGGCTGGCCACGTCCTATTCGGCCACGCTACTCGGCAAAGGCGCAGCGCAACTGGCCGTCGACCTTTTCCTGCAGCGGCCGTCCGCCTCCGCCGGCGATGGACAGTGGCCGCCGATCTCGCCGTACTTGCTCTACGCGTTCGGCTCCTGTCTGGTGTCCATAGCCGCGACTTGGACCGCCGCGTTCCTAGTCAAGCGTCACTACGCCACCAAGACCCGGTGCAGCCGTTACGTGAGAACCGCCTGACCGACCGCACCTGCAGCCACCGCCACCGTCGGTGACGAAACCATCGTCCTACCGCGTTGTGTATAGGTAATGTCCGTGTGGTGCGGTCGCAGTACGTACCTATATACTTTAGGGGCTGTTTCGAACTGTGGTTTTCGCAGTAATATCGAAAAATCGTAATGCCTAGGCTCTAGGGTATACGTATCGTTGCCTGCAGGAAAGCGTGAAAAACGGTTAGGAAATATTAATTAGAATTTTAAAGGCTTTAGCGACGGTCCATCCGCGTTTGAGGTAACTATAGTTTTTGCAATTCTTTAAAAGTGACACTTGCAGTACCTACTACCTACGCATGTACCTAGCCACCAAATAGTATACCGGCCTATTGTGCAAGACGTGAAAATTGAACACGGTCGATGATCTGAGTCCTGACGCCAGATTGTAACTTCTGCAGATATTATAATACCCAACCATCGGATCCACGTGTTTATATGCTCTTTCACATAATCTGTGATCTGTTTCCTTAATTTCTTTTCTCCTGCGCCTCTATCGCGAAAACACTGTAATTTGCGTCGGAAAAATATATTTTCCTGCTAACGACTATATTGGTGCAGCGTGTAGGTACCTATAATTGTAAGTCGTTTATATAGATAGGTACGTGGTTCAGAGCATAACATTGAGAGGTAGCGATTATCGCAAAATAATAAAATTACGACTTTAAATAAGATTTACGTGTAGGCAGTGGAAAATTTTATATTCCAACGTTTAATATCATAATATGTGGGATATTAAAAACAGAAAAATATTATAATACAAAATTTTATATGAAATTTTATTAATGATTCCATTTTCATGTAGGTTGATAGCCTCACATTTGATGGTTTCGTGATCATGAAAATACTGAAATGCATACAAAACATACATATTATGCATTTTTCACTTATCCACCTAATGCGAACTACACAAAACATTCTAAAAACCTGAACAAGACTTTAGGTACCTATCTACTACGTATCTATCTACTAACAATAAATCATCACAATGTACATAAAGATCAGAATGTTCACTGTTTAGTCTATTACTAATACAATGCCTACACGTTGTACCAAAGTTATTATTAAAAAATTACGTGCTATTTTTGTTTATGATTGATACCAACCACTAAAATAGGTGTTTAAATAGATTTAAAACTGTCCATTTCAGAGCCATTAAAAGAAGTTGAAACACTCAAATACATGAAACAATAAAAAAAGGTGTTCTGGCTTTAGTTAAGTAATACAATTATTTAAGACTTTTATTTTTTATAATAATATTGTGTATCATTAATATCTATATCGATTATATCTAAATTATTTTAGAATCTATAGGACTAGAGTGCTTGATGTATGTACTCGTCATGTGGGGTGCATAAACGCAATCTAATACGTTTTGTGCACTCAGTGAAGTAGGTAAATGAATTTATTATAAAGCATAGTCCCTATAGAACCGTATGTGGTTGACCACAATTTTCGATGTGCTGTGAACTGAACTCCTATTGAAAATTCGCTGACATGTTCTGCATATTTCAATTTCAATTATTATAGCAAATTATGTTCTCTCAATATTATCTAATCGTTTTCAACATTAAAATTATTTTAATTTTTTCTGTTAATGAGTACTTTATTAATTAATTGTGTGTGTATACATCTAATTATATCTACCTAATATGTATGATCATAAGATATTAAGATATATGAACCAAGAATGGCCAAGATTTGAAATGACTTACATTAATTTTAATTTTAATATTAATAAGTTTGAAAAAGATTAGAATAAAATAAGATATTTTTAAATTATATTAAAATAGTTTTATTACAAATTAATTAATTATAATAAAATCATTTACAACTCAGTTACAAAAAAATTAAAATCATGCAATTTGTTATTGTTTTTATTTAATAAAAATATATTATTAACTATACATAGAAAACCACAACAAAATATGAACCATCAATTGACCATTCTTGGCTTATACAATGAATTAATTAATATAAGTGTTTACATATACGCTTTATTGTACATATACACAAATATTGTGTTGTACATTTGTTAGTTATACAACTAACTGAGTACTGACTTTTTTTTTCACTTTTGTATTTATATAAATATAAAATTGTTTTTAATGTTTATGAAAAAATGTTAATTTTTCACCAGTTATACATAGATATTTATAACAAATGCATTCTTATGAAAAACAGCATTTATTTCATTAATATTGCTCTTTTTTACTTAATATTTTTTTTATTTTTTTTTTATGTATATTATATAATCTATAACTTTATATATTTTATAAACTGATGGAGAAGGCATTAGACAGCAGTAAAAAAAAAAAAATAATAACCACTAAGCTTATTATTCAAATAATAATAATAACACTGTAATTTTAACTTCATAAAATTAAAACATAATTATATTCAGTTCTTTCTTTTGTAAATTTATCTTCAAATAATAACGCCAATCAACACAATATTGATTTACAAAAAAATCATGACACGTTAATAATATAAATTAAAAATATTATGAATATAATAATAATGAAAAAAAAAATGATACCATAATTAAAGTCTTAATACAAATAAAATACATTGACAAATATTAAGTGTTTTACAATATTATCTTTATTATAACACAAATATAAAATAAAAATTAAACACTAATTCGAACACATACTTTTTTCAAAATATATTTACAATTCAATATATTGTTTAGAATTATAGTTATAAACCTTATTTGTAATTTTACTAGATAACTGAAGGAAAATTATACCCATCCAAAATCACTTATACGGACATACAGAATTATTTAACTTTACATTTAACAGGAATTCTCAAAATAAATAATTGGAAATGCATGGCACATTTTTATTAAAAAATAAACATTAAACAATAAAAATTAACTAGGAACAAAATGATCCTGTTTCAATAAAGATATCTTAGGAAGAAATATTTACTTACTTTTATATTTCAATTATTCAGAATTTCAAACTGCATGTAATAATAAAATGTATCTAGCAAACATTTTGATTATTTTATTTAAATATATCTCACTTAAAATTGTACCTATTCGAAAATTTTAATTTTAATTCTTCAAAATTAAATGTTTTTGAATATCTTATAATAAGTTTACTAAAAAGTAATAAGTCTTGAAATCATTTGCTTCACGGCCTCCAAGAAGTTAACATTAACTTTTCATTCAATTCAGAAAGAATGATAGCACATACTTTTGCTTTTTCATTCTTCATAATAGTATGATATATTTTATCTTCTGGATCTTGTACAACTTTAGTTTTATAATTTTGTTTTAAAGATGCAACACCTTTTTTAGGCTGTGATATCTGTACACCTCGGCGACCTTGATAATTATCTTTTTGTTTTGCATTTGGTTTTTCAGTACGTTTCTGTAAAAATATTTAAATTTAAGATGTATAATATTACACTTATTTATATTTTCTAGTATAAATAAATAAAATTCAATTTATTTTAAGTAAAATATTGTGAACTTAAAATGTATCCAATGATAGATTTAGAAGGCATTGAATTTAATATCATAAAAAGGGTTCAGGTAACTACAAAAATATTATAACATAAATTTCATTAGACAATATATAAAAATGAAATCATTTTTTTTTTTTGTATTATTAGGAATTCTAAATATGTTTAATGTAAGCATTTAATCACTGATAGTATAAATTAATGAATACAATTGTTCAGTGCTATAAACTATTCAGGAAAAAAAAATGTAAAAGTATTTTGAATTGTTCGTAAAAAAGCACATTTTAAATAAATGATAAAAATAAGTACCTATTAAATAATACCAACTATGTAATTAAACTATAATTTTTTTAATAGAAATTAATTTTTAAAATTGTATATACAATCAATTTTTATGTAGTTAATGTTTGAAAACAATTTAATTTTCTTTAACCATGATAAAAATTACTGCTGATAAAAAAATATTTAAATCTATTGGTAAAACTAATATTTTACTTAACAATATTATTACAAATGAAACCTATGAATTGTATCTAATAAAATTAATAGGTACAATCTTTAAAAATAAATTATTCACAAAAATTTAGCATTTGTCAAATCTGTTTAGAACATAAAAAGACAACTAATACATAATTATATTCAAATAGCCAAATTTTATTATGATGAATCTACTTACCCTAGTTTTGCGTATGAATGCAGAGGCATCGTAATAGTTAGGTTTTTCACGACGTACACGTTCAGTTCTACGGCGGCCATCTGAACGTGTAGTTGGAGCGGTTGTAACATCTTTGGATTCCTGGACTGACACGACCGTCGCCGCTGCCACCTTGGCAGGGGCAACTTTGGGGGTAATGTCTTTTTTTGATAGATAAAACGAATGCTTGCATTTGGTACAAGTCTTCACAGCAACTGGGTACTAAAATTAACAATTAATGACAATGGTGAAAGAAATAAAACAATTTTATAGCAACTGTTGGACGACAACCAATATAACTATACACTGTGTGCTGTAATTAATTTTTTTAATGTTACCTGTAAGCCACAACCGGGGCAAATTTTTTTCACGGAAACTTTTTTGTGTTTTAACATGTATTGATCTTTATATGTGAATTTGACGGTGGAAAAACGACCGGCCGGCTCCGGTTTACTTGTGGCACGGTATGTCAGAAACGACGATCCGGCATCACCGTTAACGGTCTACGTGAATTCTAAAAAGTCGGACGACGATTATTTTAACGGGAAAATAAAGAAAATAACAAAAAAATGTTGATTTATTACCATTTTAAATCGAATAGGACGACGTCTGTCGTCTAATCTAAACGCTGTAAGTGGCCTCTGGTGGAGTATATATTAACTACTATAGCACCAAATATTCAATAACTCGAATTTTCCTATCATTCCACCGTCATCGTTATCACTATATATGTTGTCAACTGGCTGATTATCACGTTGGCAACACTCATACGATCACACAGTCTTTCACGGTAATCGGTAATATCACTGATATCACAGATATCACAGATATCAGTAATATAATAATATCTCAGTTTAAAATTTAAATCTTGTCCACAGGTCACCGGTTGTCACTGTCACGACTCACGGCGGGTCCTGAAACATAAAATTTCTTAGATCTATATTCCCATTTGAACATTTCTCATTCTCTATATTGTCTTCGTGGATCTCAAAATTGAATATAATACATTATTTTAATTGTAAATTTATACATAAGAATTGTAATTCATATTTTCATTAAATTATATACTTAAGATCTTAATAATTGCACCCTAATAATTTTTATTATTACTCAACGATTGTACTTTAGCCCTTTGGAGTTAGGATGTAGTATGTACTATGTAGATTGTAGATAATAAATATAATATCTATATTTGTGTCACATGTTCGTACACAACCGTACGATAACTGCCGAACGTATACGATCTTTATCTATACATCATTAATTTGTTAAAATTTTTTTGCACCTTCCATTTACACACGATGTTGTCGACTGTCGATGGTCGACACTTGTCATCAACTCATTTAATAAACTGTTGTGGTAATGTGTAGTTTTATTGCTGACTCGTGTAGTCTATACATGTGTAGAGCTCGTGCGTTTTATTAAACTTTGACGATCAACAATTGATAGTAACCACAATTAGTTTACTGAAAATATCAAATTATCAACTTTTTAACTAACTTGACAATTCTCATCAATTTCATAAATGTAAGTATCTTTGAACGATGAGTATACAAATAACCGATTCTTATTTTGACCATATCACATTAATTAATTTATTAGTATTAAAACATAATGATAACAAATCTGTATCTATATAATACATATAAAATTTGTTAAATTAGTTAAAAATTTTATAAAACCCGTGTTTATTTGTTTTGATCAATAATATACATTTATATATAGAACAGACGGTTTATTGAAAACTATCATTATAATTATTTTATTTTTAATAATTGATGGGCATTTCTATAGATATTTATATACTATAAATTCTAACATAATATAGATAAAATCCTATGAATTATAATGGCAATAGTTGCGGGAACGAAAAATGAGCGCTGTTTGTCATACCTCAAATGGCAGATTTTCTTACATGGTTATCAAATCATCAAACTTGAAAGCACTTTTTACGATACGTAACGGTAGCGGGACAGTACAATATTTAGAACCTATGAGTACGAACAATGGTCCGCGGGGGCTAACGCTTATTTTTCGTGTCCGCGACTTAACATCAAATTAACTTGACATTATAGGCTATAGCCGTTTAGACTATTATAGTATTTAACAGTTAGCAGGTGAGCACACTTCATATTACTAATTATTATAATATAATAAATTATATTACATTAGTAGGTACATATTTATAAATTGTGATCTATGAATTTGAATGATGCTTTATAATATTTATGAGTTTAGGTGTCTTAAATAAATTGAAAGCATTGACTTGAAGTTTCTTCATTTTTTTCCTCCATAAATTTCATATTCATTATTGTCTTGCTAATTTTTTTATTTACTACTGTAACATTCACAATGTATTAGAATAAAAAATGTTTAAAAAAAAATATCAAAATTAATTTTTATTTTTATCTATTTCATAGTTAATGTCAAATATCTTGTTAAATAATTAAATTTAATATTTATGTATATATTTTTTACAGGATGAATGATAACAATATGTCCAATATAAATAGATTTTCATTAATAACATCTAACATTCCTGTTGACTTGGCGTTTGATTTCATTTCCAAAACTGACCTACAACAGTGCTTAGAATACCTTACAGCATGGTACTGTAAAATAGGCTGTATCCAATTATTTGACAATGAGAAAATTTTGAACCTAGATACAATACTAAATGAAGAGTTCCTAAAAAAAGTAATAGCAAAATTACCAACAGTGGATTGTGATGATTATAAACTTCAGAATGAAATGGAAAATCAATTTAATCAAAAACTTGGTATATTGTATAATTTTAATATTAAAAAATTTTTGATTGATTTTAAATTACAAAACAATTCTGCTAATTTGGCTCGAATAGTTTGTAAATATTTAAATAAACCAATCATGTTTAATTTTAATATACCAACATTAGAAAATGCTTGGGACTCTTGGAATACTTTTAGAAATATGACTGGTTATAGCTTACAAATTGGCATAATTTTATGCCTCACCGAATATGTGCCAACGCATGATGAGATAAATCGATGGATTGGTGAACCCGTACGTGCTCTATCTATTAATACAAACCTTTTCAATTTAAACAAAAAAGGATATCCTGTACTCAATGAAGATCATGAAGTTATTTTGAAAATAGCAATACAACAAAAATGGGTAATAATTTTATCAGGCAAACCCCTACCAAATATGAGAGATTATTTTTATTATATAATATTTATTGCTAAGAACATAAATATCCCATCTCCAATATTAGAATGTGATGATCTTCTACAACTTCCTTTACAACCACTCAGAGATAATCTTATGTCTTGTGTGTATCATGTATTTGAACAAGATCCAGTTAAGTATACACAATATCAAAAGGCAATACATTTGGCAATTATTGACAAAAAGGTAAAAAATATTGTTATAGCTGTTATTGGTGCTGGTCGAGGTCCTCTAGTTAAAGCCAGTTTAAGAGCTGCAGATTTAGCAGCAGTAAATGTTAAGATATATGCTGTTGAAAAAAATGAAAATGCCATACCGACACTACTTATGTATCAAAAAAACATTTGGGGTAAATCTGTTGATGTGGTTTTCAGTGATGGACGAGAATGGGATCCACCTGAGAAGTGTGATATAATGGTGTCTGAACTTCTGGGATCATTTGGTGATAATGAATTGTCACCGGAATGCTTAGATGGAGCTCAGAAGTGTTTAAAAGATGATGGTATTAGTATACCTTGTGAATATTCATCCTATTTAAGACCTGTAATGTCACATAAACTGTTTAGTCAGACTATTAATAATAAAGCCATCGATGAATCATGCTTATCAAATTCAAAAGATGCTGCGTTTGAACAGTCATACATTGTTTTACAACCCAATAGCTACAAACCAACCAAAACCAAAAAATTATTTACATTTTATCATCCCAAAAAAACATTAGAAAGCAATGCTCGGTATAAATGCCTTGAGTTTGAAATAACTTTAAACATGCAATTACATGGTTTTAGTGGTTATTTTGACGCAGTACTGTATAAAAACATTAAAATAAGTATAGAACCATTAACTGAAAGTATTGGCATGTTCAGTTGGTTCCCTGTTTATTTTCCAATCAAAGACACAATGCTTGTTAAATCGGGTAATGTTATATCTGTTCATTTTTGGCGATGTTGTGATGAACATAAAGTATGGTATGAGTGGTGTGTATCTTCTCCTAACCAAACGCCTATTTATAATTGCAAAGGAAAATCAAATTCTATAAGACTGTAATTTATTAAATATTTAATTTTTATTATATTCGTGATATTTTATATTGTTGACTGATATTGATATTTTAAGTTTTAATTGTCAATTTTTGCTAAATACCTATGTTGAACATGTAATAATTAAATTTAAACATGTAGAACTGAATATAATTTTTCAATAAATGTTTTAAATTAATTATTAAATACACTTGGTACAAATTATTGATAAGTAATTTAAAAACTAATTATAGAAGACATTTATGGTACAATAGTTAAAAAAATAACAAAACTAACTTAAAATAAATTTTTATGCAAAACACTTGCTTTTTAGTAAATTATTAAAAGTTTTAATAAATTTTATATTTTATAAAATATTTTTTGCCTTCAATTTTGTTGGGTGATCATTACATAATATAACATATTTAAATTATTATATAGTTATTTTGAAATAGTTTGACAGTCTGACTTCTTGGTTGCACCAGTATCCAATTTCTCCTGAGAAAACCTCTACGACTTAAAGAAAACACATTCATTTAGTAATCGATAAATTGAATATGATAAGAGATGAGGGGAAACATTACATCTTATGTGCTCTGTATTAATTAATTTCAAAAATTTTATCTCTTGTTAAAAAATAATAAAAAAATTTAAGAAAAGTAGGTATTTATTTATTTTTTATATAACCTTAAACTTAAACATGAATTTATTTGGTGATAAGTAAAATCACGAGTATAACAAAGGATATTGTTATTTGTTAGTTTAGGCGGTAAACCCCAGATGATAGGGCCGATAGGGGTAGTTAAAATTTCAAGACTATGTAGACAGTATTGTACATACATTTTGAACATTTTGTCGTCTTTATATTCTACTTAAACAGGTAGGTTATTACTTATTATTTTTGACTTTGATTAATTTAAAATAAATTGTTGTTAAAAATTAGAGTAGGTATTGCTTAGATAGACAAATAATAGTATTTATTTTTTTAAGAAATTTTAATGAATATTGCAATTTTGTAATAACATTTTAAAAATGTCTTGATTTAAATAATAATTTATTTCAAATTACTCATATATCTGCTGTAATAAACTAATCATATTTACTTTTTTTTTTTTGTTTATTCCTATATTGACAACAAAAAACTACCTAATCGAATTTTTTTATTATTGTTTAATAATTTCAGAAACTTCTTCATTTTTATATTTTATTGATTTATACCAATATTAAATACAATTATTACTACCTAGTACCTAACAATGATTTTTTGAAAAACAAAAGTTACCTACTTAATTTGCAATTACGAGTAGGTAGTAATATTATGAACTCCTGTCTTGTAAAATGCTTGGCAACTCGCATCTACGGCGAAACATAATTAAAATAATTTTATTATTTAATTTATTATCAAATAGGTATTAGGTAGATAATAAAACTAAATATTTAATTTTTAAGTAAGTACCCTAACTTTGAAATCTTAGATTACTGTCGCTAAATTAAATTACATATATTTATTTAAAAAGCACCTAATAACGAACATTATTTATAATTATAAGTTATATAGATACCTAACTGCATTTGACCATTCGTATTAAATCGTTAAAATTGTTCAAAAATTTTAAAATGATAGTTTGTATTAGTGAAATACAAATTTGTAAACATATATAAATATAATAATAATTAACAATACTTATACCTATTTGTGAAACATTAAAAAGCTATTAGATTTGACATTATAAAGTACCTATAAAAAAAAATTGTTTGCGTTTATATTTGAGATTTTAGGTTGATGTGAGAAAAATGTATGAGAATGTGAAATCAAATTGTTCAATTTTATTATTGAAGTAGATAGGTAATAGGTACCTACTGTACTAGGACTACTATATATATACATCGATTTTTATCATCAAAATTTCGTTGCGTAAATGTCATAGCGAACAGAAACAAAATAAATGGACGTGAACGTTATTTTGGCCTGAGTTCCTACATTTGAATTAAATTAAAAATATTAATACAATAAAATTATTTTATTTGAGTTATCCAATGTTATTTAAATAGACATAATTTCAAAAATCTTTTTAAAATTGTTATAAAATATAATAATTAAAAATTCAATAGTTACAGAAATATTTTGGACTGTCCCTCTCAAAAATGACAAATTCTTCTCTATTCGTTATAATTTTAGACTATTTTCATAATTTTATTATCTTTTCAACATTAGCATATTACTTTTATTTTTCAGGAAAACTGTTTCTTGCTAATTATTGATCTTAAAAGTTTCTACCTGCCTATTATCTTTAAAGATACGTTTTAAAATACTCTAAACTTAAATGTATTAGGTGTAAATAGAAAATTAGGAAATCGAAGACCTCTTGGGTTTTTATTGATTTACTGCCCACTTAATTGTCATCAAACCGATTTTGTAAAGGTACCATAAAAATTAAGAAAAAATAACTGGAACAATTTTGAATGTACCATCATGTGTTAGGTTTGAATCTTTAGGGAATACCGGTTGTAATTTTTTTTTTTTATTTAAGTTAGTCATTTATACGAACAGAAGAACAACGATCAGGGGGGAAGGATTTAATTATATTGAAGATTGTGGATGGGTATTTAATATTTTCAATTTGTACCTACAAAAGGCCATTGTGCTAGACACGATCAAAATCTTGCCCAATATGGCAATATGCCTATTACAGATGTACTAGTATGAAATTTATAGAAGAGACTATTTTGTAATCAATAGCCAACACAATTTTATTAATTAAGCGATAAGCAAAATTAACCGAGTTTGTAATTTGTTATCTGAGACAATAATGTTATAATATGTACTTAGTAAATTGATTCAAAAATATTTTTACTGAGATGATCCTTTAAAACTTATCCAATTCATTTCAATTTGTCAAAATCTTATTTAATAATTCTATTGAAAATAATTTTTTTTTTTGTCAATTATGATAATTTTTAATATGGAAAGTTCTCTTGTAATTTTAAATTGTTAACCTTTATAATATGCTAGATAAGAACGTAATATTTAACCTTTAGGCTTTAGATATAATAATATAATTTACTGTTAGTACTGTGTTTACATTTATTCTATTTGTGTGTTTATGAAAAGGCATACGATTGCTGGTCTCATTTCTGAAGTCGTCAGTGTTGTAGTTTCAAAATAAATGTCTACTTACAAAATGAAACGAGCATTATCGACATTTGTAGTCGTATTGATGACCGTCGTCGTGGTGACGTTAGGCGATCGACTACAATGTAAAGATCCAAACGGACAACCTGTTGACTGGTAAATAAAACCGATTACGTTTTAAATTCAACCAAGTATAAATTATTATAACAGTGAGTATATTTCTATCCGTGAAAATGTATTTTATGTGTTCATCTATATAAGAATGGCGGAGAGTGCATTGCACATATTTTACTCTATTCACACAGTTTAAGTAAAAATTATTATAAATTATTAAAATATATAGGTATATATATATATGTTATACTCAATATATTTACCTGGACGTGTGTAATGTATCATGTGTATTCCTACTCAAAACCTTAATTATGCAAATACCAACAATAAGACATTTCGCTAAGTTTAATTTCTTATTATTCATATTTATTAATTTTCAAACATTTATTTTAAATTGTTAAAAATAGGTTTACGGCTATAAAGCTACCAAGACTCAAGTCAAACTTGTCCGATGGGACCGTTTACGTTTATATGGACGCCAGAAACCCGGAGTGGACCTACTATACAGGGATCATAACCGAAACGTCAGCTATCGGGCACACAGTGTCGCAAATGTACACGGCCAGCCAAACCTATAACGAAGTAATTTTCTTAACAATACATTAGTAATTATTATTACCTATATTATTTTCATCTATAAGTATTTATTGAGTATAAGGACAGTAAAGTTTTGTAGCTGCATGAACTAATAACTTAAATACGCGTTTTAAGCATAAGCAGGTAACTATATAAACACCGAAAGGATTCAACTATCATAATAATAATAAATTATAATTGGACTATGTCTATGTGTGTAATTTAAAAAAATATTCCTCATTTTTCTTATGTATCATTCAATAAGCGATCAAAGTTTATATTGTCATAAAATTTCTTGGAGTTTCCAATAATTTATTCAATGATATATGTATAGAATACATTTAGTACATATTTTCTGGGAGATGAGATATTTGTAAATCAATAATATTTTACAATTCTGTAGTAGTGTAGTTCCTAAGTGGTCCTTTGGATCCCCATTTTATAGGTACTTGTTTAATGATTTTTACTATCTACTCAATAGTTTAAAGTTGTTTATTATTACCTATACGTTTGTTTGATGTTAGATTTAAAGAAAAACACGTAGAGTGTCGTCATCCTTTTTATTTAATTATAATGTCTTGAAATTTATAAATTACACAATTTTATCATTTCCGAGACCTAGAGCAGGAAATATATATGGCTTTCCGGCTATATAATCAGTACACACTAACACGCCAATACACCCGTATAATTCGCAGTCGATAATGTGGATCGTGTACAACGATGAACCAACAAATGGTCCAGTAACATTTTCTAAAGGCCATTCCAAAGGTACGGTGGTGGCTAACAACAGTTCGGGATTATGGTTAGTGCATAGCGTGCCAAAATTTCCGCAGTTGCCTTACCAGAACAATAATTCTTACACGTACCCCAAGACCGGTGTTAAGTTCGGCCAAAGTTTTCTGTGTATGTCCATGACGGCTGAAGAACTGGACAAGGTAGGTGAGTATCTATATACATAATTTTTTTAGACGTTGATTGAGTTTTATTAATTTTTTTATCGATGTTTTAGGCAATCAGTTAATCAACAATGAGGTGCTGATATATGGCAGTCACTTCGGAGGCGATCTGAAATTGACGTACCCGGGTTTGTACAACGCCACCCGGCCGCATTCAATTCCAGATGTGAAAAATGATGGAGTGAGGTTACAGCCTCTTCGCTCTACCGAGGGCATTGAGTTCATGTCCATTTCTAAGAACAGACACTTTGGAAAAGGTAAACTACGCATATATCTATGTATCTGGTCTACCGATTATGTTGATAATGTAGGATATTAACTTCATTAATACACGGAATGAAGACACCATAATCTAAATAGCAGTCAGTTGTTAATGATTTTCCTTATTTTTAATGTATTATTAATAAACAAAACTCTATTTTTCACCGTACAACTGTAAGTTATTTTTAAAAAATATATAGATTTATACGAAGACTTAATCACACGGATGACACAATCAAATGTATACACAGAGACTTGGTTGAATACGCGTGATAGATTTAATTCATCATGTTCCGGTCACTACAAGTAAGTTGTAGTAAAAATATTCTAAGTGACTAAGCTAGATTAATTTTACCAAATAATAACGGTTTTAAGGACTATGAACATTAAATCGTTAGCCATGAAGAACATAAAAGGATTAAAAACCGTGTGGTTTAAGTCGGCTTTGGACCATTCTAAATGGGTTTTGACTGGGAAGAGTTCTGTACATTGGACTTGCATAGGCGACATCAATCGAGCCGTATGTTTATATAATTTTAAATACTATAATAATTGAAAAAATAAAAATATATTAACATTATATTTAACATACGAATGTAATGATTTTAGGAAGAACAGACGAAGCGTGGAGGTGGAACTGTATGCATAAAATCAATGCCTGTGTGGAATCAATATAAACAACTGGTATCAGACATCGAAAAGTGTAAAGCTTAGTGATATAAATATGTGACTCTTACCACTCTTACCAGAGTATTACTGTTGTTAAAAATGTCACCGATATGTATTTAATGTCATTAATACTTGTTCAATTTATCTTCGCTTAATGTAGACAATAGATATGACTCATAATTTATTTTTAAAATATAAGTTATATAAAATATTACACGTAAGTACATTTGATATGCCATAAGTAGACATATAATATGTATGTGCTAACCTAATTTTGTATTTACACTAAAGAAATTTCTCTATTTAAAGAACAATTTGTTCCAAATTACAAGTCAATGATCACACGACCATCTACCAGTTTTTATTTATTATTTATAGAACATTATTATTACATTAAATTATTATAATTAGGTAACAATTTTAAAATTATAGGGGAGCGTCATCTCTGTAAGTTGTGTTTTATTTAGGAAAAAATATTTAGTAAAAAGAATAATAACAAATGTTAAATTATTTGTGTAGTACATGGGCGTAGCTAGGATTTTAATCAAGGGGGTTAGAAAACCTTTTTTTCTTTCCATTTTATAATAAAACTAACATGTATACCTATAAGTTATTTTTAATATTCGCCTTTCCCCTGTTATAAAGAGCTGGATGTGCCACGTCTCTTGCTCCCCCCCCCCTGGGGACTATGGATGATATACAATAGTCACTTTGGAGGCGTTCCGAAATTAAGTACCCGTATTTGTACGTTATTCAAACACACACAATTCTAGGTGTGAAAAATGAAAGAGTGAGGTTATAGCTTCTTTGCTCTACTGAGGGTGTCGAGTTCTTGTTCATTTCTAAAATTAAGCACTTTGGAAAAGGTAAACTACACATGCATCTATAAAGACCATCTACGATCTTGATGTTTTTTAACTTTATTAATATACGAAATGATGGAATGAAGATACAAACAAAAAAATAAAAATAAATTATATATAACGTAACACTTAACACAAATTGTATTTAATAATATGTACTTATATTTAATGAATTGAACTGAATACGTGTAAGATAAGATCAATTTTATGAATGAAAAATTATAGGAATGTCTAAGTAGGAAACAGAAGTAAATGATTTTTCATATATTTAACTTATTCTTAAAATAATTTTGTTGATTAGATCATGCAAAAATTTTAATGTACATATACATAGTTTTATATTTGTACAGACTTAGTCACATATGTAGTATAGTGAAATGTACACGCAGATTCGGTTGAATAATAGAGGTCAGTTCAATTCATCGTGTTTCAGTCAGTACAAGTTGAGGTAGGAATATATTGAGCGTATTGTTTCAAAGGTTATGAGCATTAAATCATCAACTATAAGAGGTATAAAAGGGTTAAAAAATGTATGATTAAATTCAACTGTGGACCATTCCAATCCAAATGGGTTGTGACTGGCAAGAGTTCTGTACACTGAACTTGTATTGACGACATCAATCAAACTGTATGCTTATATTTTAAATACTATAATTTAAAAAATAAAAATATATTAATAGTATTTAATATAGAAATAGATTTTAGGAACCAGCAGCAAAACTTGAAGGTGGAACACAACACATATAAATAAATAATCATTATCAATATAAAAGCAATAAAAAAAAACTGACTCACCTGACAATAACTATTAATTAATATTCCACTGTTACGCATTTAGTTTTTAAATATTCATTCAAAGCTTCTTCACCTAATGCAGACAATTAAGAGAGTAAATATATTTAATAACCAAATAAAAAAATTCAAAAGAGGAAAAACTATACCTAAATCTTTGCCAAATCCAGACTTTTTGAAACCACCAAAAGGTGCAGCAACATCAGTTTTATTATAAGTGTTTATAAATACAGTGCCAGCATCAATTTTTTCAGCAAATCTTAATGCCTTGCTTATATCTTTTGTGAATATACCAGAAGATAAACCATAATCAGTTGAATTTGCTCGCTTGATAACTGCATCCAGATCACTAATTTATAAGTTGATGTAATAAATTACAATTTAATAAGAATTATATACTATTCTTTAAGTACAGAAAACTTCTTTTTATACCTGCTACTAAATTTAGTTACAGCCATGATGGGTCCAAATGATTCTTCTTGAGCAATAAACATATGATCTTCAACCCCTGTGAACACAGTTGGCTCAAAATAGTATCCTGGTCGATCTAGACGTTTTCCTCCAGTTTTCAATTCAGCTCCTTCATTCTTTGCTTTTTTGCAATAGTTAATTAATTTTTCCAAGTGAGCTTTATGATTTTGAGGTCCATGATTAGTATCACGTTCTAATGGGTTTCCAATTTTCTAATATTGAACAAAAAATTGTTAAATAATAAGCATTAACCATTACTACTACTTAATGTACTCAATTAATTAAAATAAAATAACTGAAACCAATTTTGATAAAAAAAAACACTGCTAAAATATAAATATTGTAACTAAATTAATTTGGATTGAAAATTACTAGTTAATAATAAACTACAAAGATTCAACTAGACTTCATTTAAAACTTATAGGAACCTCTATGAGATTTTACTGTATCTAACTAAATATAATTTAGAGCACTTTAATAAAATATAGTAAAATGTTAAGTATTTTCTATTATGATAATTAAAAAACTTATAAAATTGAGTTAAAAGTTTCTTTCGTATGTAGCAGCATTTATTTTTTTAAATTTTTTCTTCATTTTATCACCTAGTAAGAAAAATGTATTATCAGATAAAACTTTAAAAATGATTGGTTTTTTTTTTTCGTTTTATTATTATTATTGAACAAAAATTGCTAAGTTCACTTTCTTTAAACAAAGCCTGTAATGGAAGTACAGATATATAATGTTACTACATATATTGACAAAACATTAGATAATAAATATGCATAGAGCAGAATGTTAAATAAAAACAAATTTTTTACAAATTTACCTATTTAAAATTTAAAAAAAGAAAAATTACACTTTTAATAAAAAGATATTTAATCTTAAGTTTTAATAATTAAGATTAAATGATTATTATTAATTTAACTTAATTAACTGCATTATTTATATATTTTTTTAAATTTAATTTAATAATGTATTTATATTTTTATTCTAAAATAAAATTATTTTTGGTATGTACCAAACTTGAAAAAATATTTCTAATTATTTAAGCAATAAAATAATCTTATACCTACAAATAGAATTTAAGGTGCTTGACTATTTTCTCATTTACTTACAATTTTTTTTACTTCTTCAACAACTTTGTCAATAAATTTGTCGTGTATGCTTGATTCAACAAAAATTCTACCTGCTGCTATACAGTTTTCTCCTTTGTTGAAGAATACTCCTCCCATGCTCTAGATATAACAAAAGTCAATTGCTTACAAAATAAATTAAATCCTTTCAGAAAAATAAAGAAACATACCATTCTAACAGATTTGTCCAAGTCACAATCATCAAGTATAATAAGAGGGGATTTTCCACCAAGCTCTAAGGATACTTTTTTGAGATTTGATTCTGCTGATGCTTTCATGATTGCATGACCGGTTGCCGTGCTGCCTGTAAATCCCACTTTTCTAATGTCAGGATGTTCAGCTATTGCTCTACCAGCCTCAATACCTAATAGACCATAAGTTTTAAAATATTAAAATGATAAAACATAATGATTCACTCAAATCTACAGTAATAATACCAAGTCCAGGAAGTATATTTATAACGCCAGCTGGAAAACCTGCTTCTACAGACAATTCAGCAAACTTCAGTGCAGTGAGGGGTGATACTTCTGTTGGTTTCAATACCACTGTATTACCTGCCGCTAAACATGCTGCCATTTTCCAAGACAACATCATCAATGGATAATTCCAAGGTGTAATAATTCCACAAACACTATTTTCAGACAAAATCATAAAATAATATTTAACAACATAATATTGAATATATTTAAAGTTGCCATTTTAAACTAACATACCCGAATGGCTCTTTTTTTGTAAATGTCAAATTTCTATTGGGTCTAGCATGTGATATCGGTATTGTTTGCCCATGAATCTTATCTGCCCAACCAGCAAAGTATTTCCAAACATCAATAGACATGCCAATATGAGTTTTCAATGCTAATGTGTATACTGCACCAGAATCAATAGATTCTATTGTTGCCAATTCTTCTCTGTTTTTATCTAATAAATCTGCTATCTTATACATAACAGCTCCGCGATCTCTGGGACTCATTTCAGACCATTCTCCTTCAAATGCCCTACTAGCCGCAATAACTGCTTGATCCACATCAGCTTCAGATGCACACTGAATCTAAAATCATACAATGTTTTGATAACTTAATCCCAAAAAACTCTTTTATGATTCATAACACATTAAAAGATAGAAATAAATTTTAAAAAGTTAAAAATATTCACTATTTATGGATAAAATTTGTGAGTAAGTCTTACTGAACAAATAACAGATTCATCAGTAGGATTGATACATTCCAAAGTTTTTCCAGACTCAGAGTCTACAAACTGTCCATTGATGAATAATTGTTTTGCAAACTGTAATTTCATATTGTTGACTTCAACTACTACTGGATCATATTCTACACGAATATTATCATCAATTGAACCTCTAGATCTCTTGACCAAGGTGTTACAAAAATCAGAGAAAACAGGAGACATGTATACATCATCATTCTTCAGCGTTAATTTCAATTTATCCTTGATTTCTTCAATTAACCTAAATTATTTGATCATAGAAACTGAGTAGTTATTAACTAGGGTGTCATGTCAATTCATCACGGCTAAATGCATCGTGCGTCAATTCACTGTGGTCATTTTATTACAACATCAATTCATCGCATGTTATCGTATTTTATAATTTCTGAACTCTGCCAATGTTAATCTCAATCTTATGACAGTTGTCAAATCATTATTTTAATTTTTAACCATCATGTATTTATCTATTAAGCTCATATATTATTGTTTGTTTTTTAATAAAATTTTTCAATCATAGCTTTTCAAATGCTAAAAATTAAGAAAGAAAATGGTATACTTTGCTACAATGGCTATTTTTTTTGAAAAGAAAAGGAAAATGATACAAAGTACATGTGGACATTTTATCAATATTATAAAAATAAATGTTGTGAACAACTTCACCTAAGTGAAAGAAAAATATTAAAAAATACTGACCATAATTATGTTCCGAGTTTATCAGATGTTGAGGTAAAAAAAATACTTAATAATCTATCAGGTATAGCCAATAATAGGTAATAGGTTCAGCACTTACATAAATACATAATCAAATCCCTATTGAATCGTCTGGGCAGCTACCCATTATAAATAGACTAAAATTTACCT